TAAAATTATTAAGTAGTATCTATTGTTATTTGTAATTTTTTTTTTGTCATTTCTTTATTTTATCGGATAACCGAACGGAAAAAACCGATAATTATTCGGTTAAAAACCTAACCGAACTGCAATTTTCGGTTCAGTTTTCAGTTTTAATATTGGACGATTAACCGAATTTTCGGTCGGTTCGTTTCGGTTTTAACTGTTTGTGCAGCCCTACCATGAAAATTAAGTCCTGAAATTATATTATGCATTAGAACCGGGGGAAGAGAGTGCGGTCCAACCAGATGAAGCGCACCATAAGAGTATGAACTTAGATGTAACTTAGTGAGGTTCCATCCAAAAATCAATTGGTGATGAGAGCAGTAGCTCACTAGGCTTATATACTAGACACATTTTCCCTATAGAATCAATGTGGGACAACTCACAAGTAATATTTCAACATTATGTGTCAAGATTTTTCTCACAATCATATGCTCCAAATACATTTTCTCCAAATTCTTAATGTGTCAAAGGACATTGCAACTTCACTTAAGCTAATGTATGGGTAATTTAATAGCAAATTACTATCCCAATGGTTTAGTCTTATTACAATAAGGCCCCATCATCTTTGAAATTAAATGACATATATCTCTTCCAAAAACCTTATAAAATATCAAATGTTGTTCAATTATGTGTATGAATTTGAGAAATTCAATTATGTTGGGCCTCGGCCCAAATTGAAGCCCATCACTGAGCCTGCTCAACTATTGCAAGTTTCAACACTCGTTGTTAGTTGCTATGCCAAAAAATAAAAAACATAAAAATTGTCTCAAATTCCCATCTTTGTCCAACAATACCAGCTAATTAAAAATGGAAACGTTATTTTTCTAGCCTACCCAACTAGGCGCTAGGCAGTGCTTTGGCGCCTACGATTTGCACAAATCGACAAAAAAAAAATCGATCAGGCGGCTAGACGGGCCTAGGCGGCCCTAGACGCTTCTGGGCGGACTTGGCGGGCAGGCGAGTATAGGCGGACCTAGGCGCTCCTAGGCGGGCTCGGTGGCAATTTTTTATTTTTTATTTTTTTAAATATTAATACATTATTTTGTTTTCAGGTTTTCTTTAATATATTAATACTATTATTTGGACTTAAGTGTGTCGATTTATTATAAGTTGAGATAAGTCTATTTTGTAGGTAGTTAAAATAAATAAAAAATAAAGTATTAATATTGATATCTAGGCTCCGACTAGGCGCTGGTCAAACGCCTAATGGGCGCCTAACGACTTTTAGAACACTAATTTCAAGTACACATTTTTGTTACAAAAGTATGACTCTCCAACGTTAGTTTGTGTCATATAAGAATTTGTGGGTTTTGTAAAAACTTTGTCTCACAAGTTGAATTTGTCGAGTGATTTTTGCAGAGTCTTAACACGATCAAGTAATAATATCAAGCACACATTATTGTGTCTAAAACTTATGCAACTTATATTTATAAACATATGTAACACATGCACAACATTTTCAAAGGTTTAATTATGTAAAGCTGAAATAAGAAAATAAAAAATATAAAAAAAGGGTAAAAAACATAGCCCATGATTCATTAAAGTGGGCTAGGCTTTATTTTAACAGGCCCATCCATCATCCATGTGTTACACGCACTATCAATATTTTATTTAAAAGAAAA